AAAAAAAAAAAAATCTGCTGGGCTGGCGGCACCTGTAGCTTAGTGGGTAGGGTGCCAGCCACTTACACCAAGGCAGGCAGATTCAAACCTGGCCCCAACTGCTAAAACAACAATGACGACTGCAACAACAACAACAAAAATAGCCAGGCGTTCTGGCGGGCGCTTGTAGTTCCAGCTACTCAGGAAGCTGAGACAAGAGAATCGCTTAAGCCCAGGAGTTAAGAGGTTAGGGTCACTGTGAGCTGTGACCCACATCGCTCAAAAAAAAAAAAAAAAAAATCTGGTTGGCTAAGTCTCTTAGCAAAATAGTTTACAAGTATCTTCCAGAAGCTGTTCTAGGTGCTGTGATTACAAAGCTAGTTTCTGCCTTTAAGGATGTCTCATATGTATCTTAGACCTAACTTTTCCAAAACTGAGGGTATCATCTTCCCTGTCCTCTCTCCCAGCCCATATATCAACTCGCACCTGCTGTCTCTAACCAAACTGAACTTCTCACTTCCTCTGCTGGGATGCCAACAGTCCGTAGTTTGGTGTTCTTATACCACAAGGGTGGGAGAAAAAGAGAGACAGCATACAAGCAGCCTAGGTGGAGAAATCTAGATGTATTGGCTGCTATCCCCAGTTACCTTTCTCAGGCCTAATCTCAGACTAGCTGTATAGTTTAGTTTTTGCTTTACTCAGGGTAAAGCTTCAAAGGACTTGTCTAGCAAGTGTGCAAAGCATGAGCTTGAACAAAGTTGCCAGACTCCAAATCCCCACACTCTATTAGAGCTCCTAGTGAGTAGTGAGGAAGCCCAGTAGGTCACAGCCCTTGCCTCTCCTGGCTAAAATATTTCCTCTTCACTGTTGCTCCCTCGCCCCACCCCAGGAGCTAGGCCTTTCCTCCAAAACCAGGTCCCTTCCCTAGATGCTCTATCTTCTTCTTTTTGGCCGAGGCCAGGTTTGAACCCACCACCTCCGGTATATGGGGCCAGTGCCCTATTCCTTTGAGCCACAGGCACCGCCCCCCCGCTTTTTAAGAGACTATGTCTCACTTTATCGCCCTTGTTAGAGAGCATGGCGTCACAGCTCACAGCTACTTCCAACTCCTGGGCTTAGGCGATTCTCTTGTCTCAGCCTCCCGAGCAGCTGGGACTACGGGTGCCCACCACAACACCTGGCTATTTTTTATTTGCAGGTGCCCGGCTATTTGCAGTTTGGCTGGGGCCGGGTTTGAACCTGCCACCCTCGGTATATGGGGTTGGCGCCCTGCCCACTAAGCCACAGGCGCCGCCCGATGCTCTATTGTCTTAAATCCTCATAACCACCCTTCGTTTTAGCAAGTATCACATCCTTTCACTTTACAGACGAAACTGAGACTCAAAAAGCTTAAGTTTCTCCTCTGAAGCCTGGAATCTTCACCACTTAGCCCTCTGGGCTTAGGCCACTGAGCTGAAGAAACAGGCCAGGGCGGCGCCTGTGGATCAAAGGAGAAGGGCGCCGGTCCCATATGCTGGAAGTAGCGGGTTCAAACCCAGCCCTGGCCAAAAACTGCAAAAAGAAAGAAAGAAAGAAAGAGAGAGAGAGAGAGAGAGAAAGAAAGAAAGAAACCGGTCAGGCTTGGCATCTGTAGCGGCTAAGGCACCAGTCACATACATCAGAGCTGGTAGGTTTGAATCCAGCCCAGGCCTGCCAAACAATAGCCAGGTGTTGTGGAGAGCGCCTGTAGTCCCAGCTACTTGGGAGGCTGAGGCAGGAGAATCAGGAGTTAGAGGTTGCTGTGAGCTGTGATGCCACAGCACTCTACCCAGGGCGACAGCTTGAGGCTCTGTCTCAAAACAAACAAAACCTAAACTAAAAAAAAGAAAGAAACTGGCCAACGGGTGAAGAAACCAACTCGGGGACCAGCCCTAGTTCACCGCCGAGGGCCGCCAGGTGGCGCCGCGGAGATGCGCTTGCCCCCCGCTGAGGGTTGCTAGCACCTGAACCAAGCCGGGCGCGTCCGAGGAAGTAGGCTCCCAGGATGTGGAGGGGAGTAGCCCTATTCCCTAGCCCAGGGTGGGCAAGGAGCAACGCCTTTAGTTCCGTCGGGTGGGGACCTCCAGATCCTCGCTGAAGAGTCACGCCTCCACCAGACGACTGCGAGGTTGCATCAGCTAGCCTCCTGCTCTATGCTCCCCAGCATGCAATTTATGAGGGGCTGTAAGGGATAGAATAGAGGGGACTAGCGCAGCTAGGAGGTGTGGCCCGCCCCACAGTCGACGGCCCCGACTGGGGCAGGGAGTGGGAGGAGCTTCTCCCATAGGGCCCGCCCCCCCAGTCCCCAAGTCCGGGGCGCGCGACCAGATATAAGGCAGCCGGGAAACAATGCGCCTGCAGCTCGCGCTCCCGCGCCAATCCCGGGAGCGTCCGGTCCGTCGTGCACGAGCTTGGGTGAAGGCGCGCGCGGTGGCAGCGCGCTCGTGAGTGCGGGGCGCGCGCTCGGTGGCGCGCATGTGCGTGTGTGCTGACTGCCGGGCTGCCCCGAGCGGGCCGGGAGCCGGTACGCTCCAGGTGGCGGGCGGCGGGAGCGAGGTGAGGCTGCGGGTTTCCCGGGCACTGGAGCGGGTGCCGGGAGACGGGGCTGGCTGCAGGCTGCCTTCTGGGCACAGCGCGCCCCCGCCCGGCCCGGCCGGGCTGGGCCCTGGGAGCTGCGCTCCGGGCGTCGCTGGCAAAGTTTGCTTTGAACTCGCTCCCTGCAGCCTGGTCCGCGCGCTGTGAGCGGCTTCCCTGGGCGCTCTAACCCAGGGCTGGGCTTTCCAGGACGCTAGGACAGGGCGCAGGCTGCAAGCCGGAGGGGTCAGAGAGGGAGGAGAGCCTGGCAGCGGTCTGTGCCAAGGGACCCAGGGACGCCTCCTTCCACCGGCCGGCACCCAGCCAGCACGTCCCCCCTTCCCTCCCGCAGGGAGCGGACATGGACTTCGACTCGTACCAGCACTATTTCTACGATTATGACTGCGGGGAGGATTTCTACCGCTCCACGGCGCCCAGTGAGGACATCTGGAAGAAATTCGAGCTGGTGCCGTCGCCCCCCACGTCGCCGCCTTGGGGCTCGAGTCCCGGCGCCGGGGACCTGGCCCCTGCGATTGGTCCCCCGGAGCCGTGGCCCGGAGGGGGCGCTGGGGACGAGGCGGAATCTCGGGGCCACTCGAAAGCTTGGGGAAGGAACTACGCCTCCATCATTCGTCGTGACTGCATGTGGAGCGGCTTCTCCGCCCGGGAACGGCTGGAGAGAGCGGTGAGCGACCGGCTCGCTGCTGGCGCGCCCCGAGGGAACCCGCCCAAGGCGCCCACCGCCCCGGACTGCACTCCTAGCCTTGAAGCCGGCACTCCGGCCACTGCCGCCCCCTGTGCTCTGGGCGAGCCCAAGACCCAGGCCTGCTCGGGGTCTGAGAGCCCTAGTGACTCGGGTAAGGACTACCCCGGGCCATCCAAGAGGGGGATACCTCACGGGTGGCCAAAGCTCTACCTCTGTCAGGTCAAGCACTGGGTCTTCTCAAGCCCTTCGATCACCTCTTTCTTTGGCAGAAGCTGCTGAGGTAGCCCCTAGCAGTGTCTGTCTGGCACGTGGGTGTGTTGGTAAACACTTTGGAGATGTGGCGTGGGAGCCAGCATCCCCTCGATGATGATTGGAGCCCCAGGGGACAAGGGAGACGTGGTGAGGGTTGGCACTTAGAGAACAATGCTGGGGTTGGACTGTAAAGGATTTCTTTCCAAAGGAGGCTGGAGGAGTCACTCCAAGCTTGAAGCGTTTTTTTGTTGCCGACTCTTTCCCTGGGAAACTCACACTCCCCTAGGGAGCGAAGACTCTGAGGAGCCTTTTGTGCAAAGCCAAAGCCTTCATCCTTTTAAAAACCTGGGTCTGCAGTCAGCTTTACTTTAAAATGCCAGTAATGAGTGTCCTCTCCTTGTACCTCCCAGCCTTAGCAACTTGTGCATCCTCCTCTCCATCACTCATGAGACGGGAGGAATGAACACTTCCCATTAAGAACTGAGGATTAGAGATAGGAAATCACTAGAAGTGAGCCCCAACTTCGTCTCATCTAGCTAGCCTCTCTTCCTCAAGTGGCTGAGTGCTCCCAACCTGGTACCTCTACTTTGCTATTCATAGGTTGTCTGGCAGGTTATCTGAGGACTACACTTTGCCTTGCTACTTTGGCCTGAGATGGAAAGATGTTCTCCTAGCTCCCTCCTAATATGTCTGCAGGCTTCAGATGCTCCCTGCCATTCAACAAACACTCACTGGCCCCTACTTTGGGTCAACCTCTGGCCATAGAGTTCCAGGCCCCCCTCCCTGATGCTTGATTCAAGTGCAAACCTTGAGGGCAGAGTGGAGTGGCCTGTGCCACCAGGCTGTGTTGTTCTTACCTCAACATCTTAGATATCTGTACTCAGAAGCACTGGAGAGAGTGCTTTTGTAGGGTGTAGACTGAAGCTAGCAGCATGTAAATCAAGACAGAGAAAACTCACTGTAGCTTTTAAAAGAATAACTTTTACATGACCATTTGAGAGCAAACTGGGGAATGGAGTTGTCATACGCTGGAAGGGAAAAGTGAGGATAACAAGATGAATTAAAAGTCAATTATTTTCTATCCACCGTGTTAAGGTCATTTTTAATCTACTTGTTTTCTACACCAAGAGCTTAAATTTGTTTAATGGCTGGCATGGAAATCTTGAGATCAAGAAACCAATAAAAATTTATTTATTCACTGACTAGCCTTAAAGAAAAAAGATGTACAAAGGCTGGTGGAGGTAGGGTGGAAAGAGAATAGTTTGACATACAGACTGTTTCAAAGGTAATATGTAGACTTGGCTAATCTGGGTCTCAGTTTCTCCCTTTGCACATGAGAGGATTGGAGTTATCCTGATGACATTTCCTTGTTTAAGTAGAGTTAGATACAACTCTCTGAAAAGGAGAATAGTGTCTTAAATTATTTTTTCCTTAAACAGAACCTTCCTGAGCCATGAGATTTAATAGTGAAAATTAAAGCTTTGGGATGTAGGTGAGCTGGCTCCCTGAATAATTTTCTGACCTGCCCTTTAACCTGAACCTGTTAGTGGGCTCTTGGTTCACTCACAGGCCACATGGCCTAGAACAAAATGCAACAGATTGCAAACAATGAGGAGGAGGTGGGGAGAGTGACTGACAGCAGGGCTTAGCCAATAGGAGTTAGGGGCTGTGTAAAACTGCATTCCAAACACAGCATAACCAGCCAATCACAGGCTTTGGGGCCAGGAGGGCTGAATGGTCAGGTTTTATTAATGGAGAAATAATGCGATTGTCCACACAATGGGAGCCCTCCTGACAAAGGGGCTCAAGCTTCCTGATATGCAAAGAGGCTGAGAAAGGAGCTCTTCAACTGTCAGGCTGAAACGCGTTAAGGTGGCTCTCTGTGGGGGCTATGAAAATGTGTGGAGCTGGAGGGTTTTCCTCCAATTGCCCCTCCCCTGGTTGGGTTAACCTAAGAGACCTTGGAGCCAGGGAATAATAGGGACGTGTCCAAGTGTCTCTAGGTCCCTGGTGTTTTGGCTCTTGTATCTGGGACATTATCCTACTGTCCAGTTTTTGCCTTTGGTGCAGGTAGCTTGGAGATGATTGCGTGTACCTTTGTGACCTTTGTTCCGCTGACCTATGATTACAAATCCAACCTTCTTCTGGTCCAGGGAAGGGGGTGGGGTGGACGACCTATAAATGATGGATGACTTTAGAAATCCATTGAACCTAGGAGCAAAATGCTCCCAAGGGACACCGCCCCCCTCCACCCCCGTGGGTGATGAGGAATGGGTTGTAGCCCTCCCTTCTCTGAATCTCCAGCTAAAAGGGATGGCAGAATAGAGAGGTGGGGGAATAATAGGATTTATAACTTGTGAAAAGTAACAATTCCCCAAGTGCAGGCTGTGTTGGGCAGGAACAAAGGGCAGCTCTGCCCACAGACCCCTCATTTACAATTCTGATGGGGCATGAAAGAGCCCGACTGGGGAAGATCTTTATAGCTAAACTTTGTCCCAGGCTGGTAGCTCTTTCTCTACATCCCCCCAGTGGGGGAGGGGAGAGGCTTTGCAGACTGGGGGCTGTTGGCTTGGGTCTGCCTTTTGTTCTTATCTAAGCCTTACTGTGCAAAAGGAAATCGGAGAATATTTTCCTTCTTGCTTATTTCCCGTCCTGTCCTTTACTCTGCCCTTACCTCACGGCACAGGAGCCCACTTTCTCCTCACTTCAATTTGTTTATCTCCAAATTGGGAAAATATTACCGACCTTTCCAAGCCTAAGCATAGAGAGTTAAAGCTATAGGGTGTGTGTATGCCTTTCTCATGGGATGTGTTTCCTCTCTTGATCTCTCTTCTTGGACAGAGGGTGAAGAAATTGACGTTGTGACAGTAGAGAAGAGACAGTCTCTGGCTATACGGAAGCCTGTCACCATTACAGTGCGAGCAGACCCTCTGGACCCCTGCATGAAACACTTCCACATCGCCATCCATCAGCAGCAGCACAACTATGCAGCCCGTTTTCCTCCAGAAAGCTGCCCCCAAGAAGGGGCTCCAGAGAGAGATTCCCAAGAAGAGGCTCTTGGGGATGGAAATGCTCCAGAGGAGAAGGAAGGAGAGGAGGATGAAGAGACTGTGAGCCCCCTGCCTACAGAAAGCGAGGCTCCCCGGTCCTACCACCCCAAACCTGTCAGTTCTGATACTGAGGACGTGACCAAGAGGAAGAACCACAACTTCCTGGAGCGTAAAAGGCGGAATGACCTGCGGTCACGGTTTTTGGCCCTGAGGGACCAGGTACCCACCCTGGCCAGCTGCTCTAAGGCCCCCAAAGTAGTGATCTTAAGCAAGGCCTTGGAATACTTGCAAGCCCTGGTGGGGGCCGAGAAGAGGATGGCCACAGAGAAAAGGCAGCTTCGATGCCGGCAACAGCAATTGCAGAAAAGAATCGCGTACCTCAGTGGTTACTAACTGACCAAAAAGCCTGACTGTTCTGTCTTACAAAGACAGTTTGTTTTTAACCCTCTTTCCCCTTTAGTAATTTGCACATTTTGGTTATGGCAGGACTGTCTGGACGGTAGATCCCAGGATGCACCGCAGCCAGTGCACACGGAATAGGGCTTGTGATCTTGGAGACCTTGAAACCCAGCTCTCCCTCTTCCCTAATTCATGGGAGTGCTGTGTCTTCTCTGGCTTCCCAGCAGGCAGCTGACTAAGGAGACTTGGGGTCTGCCTAGCTCACTAGCTCTGAAGAAAAGGCTGACAGATGCTATGCAACAGGTGGTGGACGTTATCGAGGGCTCCAGCCTGCATGAAATCTCACACTCCGAATGAGCTTTAGGCTAGGAAAGGATGCTCCCACTGGTGTCTCTGGGGTGATGCAAGGACAGCTGGGCCTGGATGCTCTCCCTGAGGCTCCTTTTTCCAGGAGACACATGAGCTGTCTTGGGTGAAGACAAGCTCACAGACTTGATAATATGGACCATTACCTCACTGTCAGACACTTTATAGTAGCTGAGGAGTTGGAAACTTATAATATAATGTTAACATTGTTAGATGACACCTCTCCTTCCGCTCTAAATGCTGCGACCCTGAGAACGTTTAAAGAGCTTGGCCTCTAGGTTCTTTGTCTCAGAGTCCTCTAGGCCCTCTCCTCTGAGGGAGGGACCTTTCTGTCCTCACAAGAGATTTTTTTGTTTCATTCTGCCTTTGTTATGCAACAATACCCTTTCCCATAAGTCAGATGTTTCCCCAAGACACAGGGAAGTGGGTCTTAGCCTGGGGTCTGGGGAAGGCTTAGCGTCTTGGCCAGTGAACTTGTTCCCTACCCAGGTGATTTCCAAGGAGCACGTGAGGCCCATCTTAGAATCATTTCTCAAGGCACCTCAGAAGGAAGAACTGTACCACTTCCTCTTTCCCACCTGCCTCTCGGTACTTGACTGATGAGTTTCACGTTCTACTGGAACCATGCAAATCTGTCCTTATGCAGCTCCAAGGAGCTTGTTGGCTCTACAGCCACTTTTGGGCCCCTGCCAGCCTGCCATGAGTCAGATCCCTTTCCCAGAATCTGGGCCTTACTGAAGTTCTGGGGAGAGCAGTTGGGACTCATCCAGCACTCCAGAAGATGAATTTATACTTCCTGGTGGGTTTTAAAGGAGCTTCCAGGAGCTCTGCTTAGCCAACCATGATGGACTTTGCCCCAGCGGGACTATGCAGCTCCAAGTAGAATCCAGGTGCAGCCTCCAATCTGAGAAAGTCACCCAAACCAGCATGTGTCATATAGGCAACCTCAGGAACCCCTAAGCCTGTCCTGAAATAAGGACCAGCCTCTTGAGAACTCAGCCCAGGATAGCAGGTGCCTACTGGCTCTGGGTTTGACAATGGGGGAGATGGATGGTAAGCATTATATTTGGCTTTCTAGAAAACCAGTTGCCAGTCCCAAACCTATCGTCCATTATGATTTCATTCTGAGGTTGCTTCTTGGCCTCAGAGAACCCCAGTGGAAGTTTGGAAATAGCCTATCTTTTGGAGCATGGTTTTCAGAAGCCACCTGACTTCTGGAATTGTCTTTGGAGGACAGGTAGGATGTAGATTACTGATATCTCACCAGAATAGCTTGTGTTTTATAAGCTGCTCTTGGGTATTATGCTCTTGGGGGAGTTTTTTTTTTTTTTCTTTTTATACTGTATTTTTGTATGCCTTTTGCAAAGTGGTGTTAACTGTTTTTGTACAAGGAAAAAAATAAAAACTCTTGGGCAAGTTTCCCATTGCAAGGGTCTGCTTTATTTTGAAAGGCAAGTTCACCTGAAATTTTGTATTTAGTTGTGATTATTGTTTGCCTGATTTTAAAATGTTTTTTTTTTTTTTTTGAGACAGAGCCTCAAGCTGTCCCCCTGGGCAGAGTGCCGTGGCATTACAGCTCACAGCAACCTCCAACTCCTGGGCTCAAGTGAGTCTCCTGCCTCCGCCTCCCAAGTAGCTGGGACCACAGGCGCCCGCCACAACGCCCGGCTATTTTTTGGTTGCAGCCGTCATTGTTGTTTTGGCGGGTCCAGGCTGGGGATTCAAACCCGCCACCTTAGGTGTACGTGGCTGGCGCCTTAGCCGGTTGAGCTATAGGCGCCGAGCCTGATTTTAAAATGTTGCTTTGGCTCAGTGCCCATAGCACAGTGGTTATGGCTCTAGCCACATATACCGGGGCTCACCTCATGGGTTCGAACCCAGCCCAGGCCAGCTAAACAACAATGACAACTGCAACAAAAAATAACGCAGCATATGGCAGGTCCCTGTAGTCCCAGCTACTTGGGAGGCTGCAGCAAGAGAATCGCTTAGGCCCAACAGTTGGAGATTGCTGTGAGCTGTGACTCGTCGGAGCTCTATCGGGATGACATAGTGAGACTGTCTCAAAAAAATAAAATAAATAAAATGTTGCCTTCTGGAACATCACTAATAAAAGATTTCTCAAACATGTCAGAGTGGGGGCAGCGTATGCCATCAGAATCCTCCTGAATGACGGAAAAATATTTCAGGATAGGCACAAGTGATCCAGATGGCTGCATTTCTTTAACCATGTTGCTAACCTGGTCATTCCACTCTGGGTTCCTGAAATGCCATTTCAGACATGTCTAAGCAATGTAGGCTTAGTAATCAGTGAACATGAAATTCTCTTGTGAATTGCAAAGTGTGCTGAATTTGTACTTTAGAAGGCTTGAAATCCAAGCTCTGCCAAATCTTCTGTGGCCTTTTAACTTTATGAGTACTAGTTTTCTTATCTGTAAAATGGGGATAAATGCTACTTCACAAGGTTTTTGCAGGTATTAGATGAAGCAGTAATCTGGAAACTGCCTTCTAAACTATAAAGCCTTATACACTCCAGGGTGGTACTATTATCAGTATGATGACCTTTTACAAGATGTCTTTTATAAAATGTTCTGGAAATTTGTCAAGCAATGTAATTTTTTTCTTACAAAAAGGTAGTCTTTACAAAATTCTCACCTAATTTGGCTCAGAGGCCTGTAGCTCAAGTGGCTAGGGCACCACCCACATACACCAGAGCTGGTGGGTTCCAGCCCAACCCAGGCCTGCCAAAAACAATGACGACTATAACCAAAAAATAGCCGGGTATTGTGGCAGGCACCTATAGTCCCAGCTACTTGGGAGGCTGAGGCAAGAGAATCGCTTAAGCCAAAGAGTTGGAGGTTGCTGTGAACAGACACCATGGCACTTTACCGAGGGTAACGTAGTAAGACTCTTATCTCCAAAAAAAAAAAAAAAAAAACTTCTTTACCTAATTAATGAAAGAAATTAAGGCTCCCAGGCGGCACCTGTGGTTCAAAGGAGTAGGGCGCCGGCCCCATATGCTGGAGGTGGCGGGTTCAAACCCAGCCCCAGCCAAAAAAATTTTTTTTCAAGAAATTAAAGCTCCTTTCCCCTCCCACAGTTCTTATAAACTTGCTGTAAATGCAAGAGGGGAGAAGTTAGTAAAGCTTATTCCCACTAGAGCAACAGATTATGTCTGAACACTCTCCTGACTCCTTCATATCACACTACACCAAGCCAGGGCTACACATGAGGAAACAGGTTCTAAGAGCAAACAAAACTACCCAGGTTCACACAGATCATGACTTGGGATCTGAAACCAGTTCTGCCTATTCCCAGAACCAGAGATCTTTTTTTTTTTTTTTTTTTTTTTGAGACAGAGCCTCAAGCTGTCGCCCTGGGTAGGCATCACAGCTCACAGCAACCTCCAACTCCTGGGCTCAAGCAATTCTCCTGCCTCTGTCTCCCAAGTAGCTGGGACTACATGCGCCCGCCACAGTGCCCGGCTATTTTTTGGTTGTAGCCGTCATTGTTGTTTGGCAGCCCAGCTGGATTCAAACCTGCCAGCTCAGGTGTACAAGGCTGGTGCCTTAGCCGCTTGAGCCACAGGCACTGAGCCAGAATTCCATTTCTTAACTGCTTATTGTCTCTCTTTGGGGATATTGCTTCCATCATGTACTGGGATGAAATGGAGTGAGTGTCCTGTGACCAGCTACTAAGCTTTTGGGTGCTGGGTGGGATAGTCTTATTGCAAAGAGGCCCACTCTAGGACTACCAGAAGATGGTTCATGGTGAGAGAAGTCTGCTTTCACTTTGTCTCCACTGATCCCCCTTTACAGCTGGGTCGTGGGTTGGTATTATCTGCCTGGACTGTAGGCCTATGAAATTGGAGTAAGGTCAAAAAGCTACTCTTAATTTCTTACATTTACAAAATGATTCCTTTATGACAGTCACAATAACCTAGTAAATAAGTAAGGTTGTCCCCTGTGGTACTGAAGTCTAGAGAGCTTTCTCGCTCAAAGTCATGTAGCAAAATCAGGATCCCAGGGCAGTGCCTGTGGCTCAGTGGGTAAGGCGCTGGCCCCATATACTGAGGGTGGTGGGTTCAAAGCCAGCCCCGGACAAACTGCAACAACAAAAAAATAGCCAGGCATTGTGGCAGGTGCCAGTAGTCCCAGCTGCTTGGGAGGCTGAGGCTTGAGCCCAATAGTTTGAGGTTGCTGTGAGCTGCGATGCCACGGTACTCTACCCAGGGCAACAGCTTAAGACTCTGTCTCAAAATAAATAAATAAATAAATAAAAATAGAAAAATTAATGGGTCTCTACTAAAAATAGAAAAACTAGCTGGGCACTGTGGCAGATGCCTGTAGTCCCAGATACTTGGGAGGCTAAGGCAAGAGGATCATTTGAACTCAGGAGTTTGAGATTGCTATGAGCTAAGATGCTTCAGCACTCTACCCAGGGAGACGGAGTGAGACTCTGTCTCAAAAAAAGAGAGAGAGAGAGAGAGAGACCAATTTGTAGGACATTTGTCCCTTTGTTGGACCTTGAAAGAATTTGTGGGTGCTCAATAAAATGGTGGTGTCAGCCCCATTTTACAGATAAGCAGACTGAAGCTCAGAGACCTATAAGTCATTTGTCTAAACCCACACAGCTCTTATCAGCGGCCTCACTTCAAGCTTCAGCTCCTTTGAGTCAACTGCTGAGAAAGGAGTGGGAATACAAGCCATCTCCTGGGGGGGAGGCAGGGTGTTTCTGGAATGTGAAGTATTTTAAGCTCCTTCTTAACTCATTTCTACAGACTCCTACCTCTGTCTTTGTCTGAAAATAGCCGGGATTTTATTCTTGGATTTTGAGAACAATTTCTACAAATTAGGTTTGCCTCTGAATAAAACACCTAAGGGATTACACTCCTAACTTGAGACATAGACAATACGGAATAGCTCAGAAGCCGAATATAGTGTACAAGAGAGAACAGCCTTGCTGTTTGTCAATAAAAGGCTAAAGCATTTGCTTAACTTCTGCCCCTGTTGGCAGTTTTTGGGGGGAATTGAGAAGGTTGTCTTAGATGTACTGAATTTGTCTAAAGTGCTCCTGAGGTCAGAATATTCACTTTGAAAGGGGGAAAAGAAGTGGAACTTCGTGGCTCACTCCTGTAGACTAAAGTGGGAGGATTGCTTCAGCCCAGGAGTTTTGAGATCGGTCTGAGCAACACAGTGAGATTCATCTCTACAAAAAATTAGCCTAGCTTGGTGACACACACTAGTCGTCCCTGCTACTTGGGTGACTGAGGCGGGAGGATCCTTAAGCCCAGGAATTTGAGGTTGCAGTGAGCTATGATAACACCACTGCACTCTAGCCCAGATTAACCATGTTAACAGAGTGAGACTTTGTCTCAAATAAATAAAGAAAGAAACTGGGATGGAGATAGCTTTGCTAAAATGGAAGGTGATAGGAGGGAGTGAGAGAAGTTCCTTTGTAAGGATAAGATGACCACTTGGGAGCTGATTGATGGGGTGACTAGGGAATGGGAAGGGGGAAGTATCTAAATGTGTCAGCTGAGGTTCCCTGAATGTGGGGGCATTTCTACTGTAAGCTCAGTGGGCAGCTTTTTGTTAATGTCTGTTTATTTACAACTGCTCCTGCCAAAGGGATCAACTGTATTAATGTTACCATTCTCTTGGCAAGGAAATGTAAATATGTTCTTAAGTCTCTAATCAGATGTGTCATTAAGTGATTAGGCTCAATGCCAGGGGTCCAGTAGGTGCCCAGCAAATACTAGATTGCCTTTAAGCTTATGGGAAGCATTATCAGTTAAGTGGTCACCTCCCCCCAATAGATGTCAGTTCCAGATCTTGGCTCTGCATTTTCTAGCATTTTCTTGACCTTGGGCAAGTCATCAAACTCTCCTGGCTCCTGTTTTCTCATCTGCAAACTAGATGTATGAATAATAGCACCTGCTTCATCTGGTCATTGTGTGCAATAGTAAGTGCTCAGTAAATGATTCCTTTCATTTAAACCATGTTAACAAGCCACACCTAGAGTATAGATTAGTCTAATTTAATTTATTAATTTATTTATTTTGAGACAGAGTCTCACTCAGTTGCCCTAGGGTTGAGTGCTGTGGCATCATAGCTCACAGCAACTTCTTGGACTTAAGCGGTTCTCTTGTCTCAGCCTCCCAAGTAGCCGGGATTACAGGTGCCCACCACAACGCCCAGCTATTTTTAGAGACAAGGTCTCGTTCTAGCTCAGGCTGGTCTTGAAACCATGAACTCAGGCAATCCACCCACCTTGGCCTCCCAGAGTGCTAGGATTATAGGTATGAGCTACCACCCCAGCCCAACCTCAAACTCTTAAGCTCAATCCTCTTGCCTCAGCCTCCTGAGTAGTTGGGACTACAGGCACCCGCCACAATGCCCAGCTATTTTTAGAGATGGGGG